GGGGGGGGGGGGGGGGGGGGGGGGACCGTGGGGGGGGTGGGGTGGGGGGGGCAGCGACGCTGCAACATATATACACTCACCAATTTAAAACAGGAACCTTATATACACTCACCAATAACAGAAATTTCAACCCCACTTTAAATCCATACCTTGCATGGCCGCGGGCACGGGAGCAGTTCCACCTGGGGGTTTGGGCTTCGGGGCTCCTCGCTGTAATACGGTTTAGGGTTTAGGGTTTAGGGTTACTTACTGAGCAAGGACTCCAGTCACCAACCGTGGTATTGCAGGAGGTGCCAAAACTCTGAACAAACCCCCAAACCCAAAGCCCTGACTCAAACCCAGGCCTAAAACCACAAAACCCCCGAACAAACCCTAAAACCCTATGGCGTGTGGGGACCTCGAAAGTGCGATCCTCCTGGGAAAAGCCGGTTTTTGGTTGGCCAGGTTCTTTCGGTGAGGCTGTTCGACAAGGTTTCGGGTTTGGGGTTGATGGGTCATCTTGCGACGTCGTGGCTGCCTGGAGGTTCCTGGTACTTACTAACCCAGTAATCGCTGTACTTGTAACCCAATTACATTGGGGCACTTAAGGGTCTGGCTTATAAGTGGGTTATAAGTTCAGTTGCTATTGGGTTATAGGTATCATGAACCTCCAAGTGGAACAGTGTGAATTCCTTGGAACATGTGTTGGGGACGCATGGCCTTGCTGCATTGCAGAGTCGGGGGTCTGGACAGACAGGCGTGCGCAAGCTAGGTGGCTAACATTCAAAACCTGCAACCTCAATCTCGCCTTTTGTTGCATCTCCAAAATCCTCTTTGCAGAAGCTCTATCACCCTAAGCCCCAAACCCTAAATGGCCAAACCCTAAATGGCTCAAAGCCTCCATGAGACGACGTTCAGGGCCCCTCGGCACATGCACAAATCTGAGTGCCTGATGTCTGCAAAATTCTTCAAAACAACTCAAATCGCTCCTTGTCCAGGTCTAGACTGTTCCAGTCCAGGGTCCACTTCGTCATGCTTTCCTCGGGTGGTGTGTGTGTGTGTCAAAGTTTCATGCACCACCAGCAACACCCAAGAAACCATGTCGCAGCCTGGTGCTCCGCAGTACATCCCTAAACGCCTGTTTCGGGTTTAGGGTTTAGGGTTGAGGGTCTAGGGTTTAGGGTTGCTTTATGGTTCAAGGGGAAACCGAAAGTGACCTTCGATTGCATGCAGGGCTTCCGAGAAGAACCCTGTCCCTGTTTACAAGGTGTCAGCCGAATGCTTAAGGCCAGTTTTAAGGCACATCAGATAAACCGACTTCATGATTCTAGCATACTGCGCCCTCTCAACAGCCCGGCGTCTCTCATCTCAATGCCGTCTTTGTCCTTCAGGTCTGCATCAACCAGCCAGAGGCCTGTCTGCACTCGATGCTTCAGAAATTCTGTAAGACTCATG